CAGATCAAGCCAATCAACTGTCTCACCTATTCAGAGGGCCTGATCCAGCTGGGGGCCCCTCTGTCTTTGGTTCATAGTTCATGTGTTTCCATTTGTTTGGCTATTTTTTTTTTCAATAATTGAGTAAAACTGAAATTTATTATAAGCCACAGTCGTCCTAGGGACCTCCATGCTGTATATATAGCCTCCATGGTTCTCTGGGTTGTGGTCTGATTGTTCTTTATTTTATATCTAGAATCCACTTATGAGTGAGTACAGACCTTGGCAGTCGGTGCTCTTAACCTCTAAGACATCTCTCCAGCCCTTGACCAGAAGTTTTTGGCCTCCTCAGACAAAGTGACTGCTTGGAAATTAACACTAACTTTAGATTATCTATAAGTGGGTTTTCCAGTTTGCTGTTTATCTCCAGAAACATGAACCCCCAATGGTCCCTTGAGATCCTTGCCCTTTAAAAGAAAAATAAAATGTGGCCTGAGCCAGGAGCTTGTCAGGGATGACACACAGTATCCAGGGCGCCCTGAGCCTCCCTAAGTGATCAGGGCACTGTCCTTCAGGGCACTGCTTAACTGAGTGCTGAAATGCAAGGCTGCACCAGAAGCGAAATCATCTTGCCTTGCTTCCCACCCTCCTTTAGAGCCGAGAAAAAGCCCAGAGGGAGGCAGAGTCTTCACAGAGGGGTTCCAGGTGTTGGTGGCAGAAATGGGATCAGATCTTCTGTCTCCTGGGTTCTCAATTTGACCTTCTTTTCCCACTACCCCTTAAGTGATTAATTTTTAATAAAAGGGGGGTATATTTAGTCTGAACTCTATTACTTTATACAATTAGTATAGTTTTTAAAGAGTGTGTTTGGAGCTTTTACACTCCTCTATCCATTGGCTGTCTTTTAATTTTTTTTTTTCCAAACTGTGCTTGAGCCCCTGACCCCTGTGCCTCTGCCTCCCAAGTGCTGAGATCTAAGGTGCACCATGATGCCCAGTAATATCCATTTTATTCTTGCAGGTCAGGGAGACGGCTCAGCGGGCAAAGGCATTTGCTGTTAAGCCTAAAATCTGAGTTTGATCCCCAGGACTCAAGGCAAAAGGAAAGGAGGTCCTCTGACCCCCACACACATGTGGCATGAACATGTGTGGGCACATACATAAATAATGAGCTAAAAAATCATTTGTACCTTTCATTCTCAGATATGAACAAAAACATGACCCTTGACAAAAACTTTATTTTATCCGGACTGACCCCTCTTTTTTTTTTTTTTTTAATTTTATTTGTTATTAATAAAATTGTTTCATTCCTTTTACACACCAAAGATCCCCCTCTTCTCTCTTCCCACCTCCCCCCAGCCTCCCCTCCCCCACTCTTCTCCCACGAGAAGGCAAGGCCTCCCATGGGGAGGCACATCCAGTAGAGGCAAGTCCAAGCCCTTCCCCCTGCCTCAAGGCTGCCAGGAGTCTCATCTTAGGTAGTGGGTTCCAAAAAGCCTGCTCATGCACCAGGGGTGGATTCTGATCCTACCGCTAGGGGGCCCCCCAAGCAGATCAAGCTACACAACTGTCTTACCAGTTAGTCCTGGACTGACCCCTCTTAACAGTAGGTTTTGGCAAAAAATAATATACATACTGCATTAGCCAGGGTTCTCTAGAGAGACAGAATTTAGAGAATGGATCTCTCTATGTATATCTAGAGAAAGGGGATTTATTAGAATGACTTACAGGCTGTGGTTCAGCCAGTACAGCAATGGCTGAGTATAAACAGAAAGTTCCAGAATCCAGTATTGTTCAGGCCACAAGGCTGGGTGTCTCAGCTGGTCTTGCCAGTGAGGGCAAGAGCAAGCAGGAAAGAGAAAGAGGCCTCCTTCTTCCAGGTCCTTTATACAGGCTGCCAGCAGAAGGTGTGACCCAGATTAGAGGTGGGTCTTCCTACCTCAAAGACCTAAATTAGAAGTGGATCTTCATACTTCAAATGATTTAATTAAGCAAAAATACTTCACAGGTGGGCCCAGTCATTTTGGGTGTTTTAGTTAATTCCAGATGTAGTCAAGTTGGCTACCAAAAATAGCCATCTCACACATCCAACATATCACAGCACAAACTATTCTTCCCATTCCTTATTTCACTTCATCCCAACCATTCCTGCCCATTCACACAACCTGCCAAGTGCCAGTCATGGCATGAACCAATGCAGAAACAGCCCACATGGCCGTTGCCACCCCTGGGTTGCTACCCAGGCTCTGTGGCTTCATGGCCGGGGTCCAAAGGCCACCTTTGTCACTTGCAAACTGTTTCTAAGTCTGTCACCTCTAGGCAGTTCCCCCTCCAAATGTCCTGGATCTGCTTGTTTTCCAAGGGCTTCTAAATTCTGAAGTCACAACTTTCACTAATGTGCCCTAAATGAATATGGTTTCTCTCCCTTAGGCAAGAAATGGGCAATTGCCAAGTCCTCGAAACATAATGGAAGAGATGAAGAAAAGATGTATGAGTAAGTGGGGCAGACTCCTGCCCTTCAGCTTTGAGAGCCGTCGGTTCACATGTCCCTTTCCTGTGGAGCTGGTGAGATGGACTCTCCATCTATGGGAGGAGGGAGGTCCGTGGCATTGTGGGTGCAGTGCATCTCTGGCATTCTGTTATCAGGGGCTTCCTGAACAAATATATTCTGACCGAGGTGAGGTTGCTGCTTAGGCTTTGTGTTCCAGACTCGTTAATACTTCTTTCCTTTAAGCAGATTACAAGTGTGATCCTCTGAAAAAGTTGTATAAAGGCATAGCATTTGCTTCCCCTTTTAAAGATTTATTTTTATTTTATGTGTATGAGTGTTTTGCCTACATGTATGTCTATGCATTATGTATATGCCCGATGCCTAAGAAGTCTGGCATCTGGATCCCTAGAAACTGGAGTTATGGACAGCTGTAAGCCACCATGTGGGTGCTGGGAACAGAACCTGGATCCTCCAGCCCTGAGCATCAGCTTGAGTTCTGCTTTTTTTGTGATTTGTTCGGGGCTCTTTTACTGTGAAACATCACAGACCTGGGCATCTCACCACAGACCCGGGCAGCTCACCACAGACCCAGGCAGCTCATCACAGACCCGGGCATCTCACCACAGAGCCGGGCAGCTCACCACAGACCCGGGCATCTCACCACAGACCCGGGCAGCTCACCACAGACCCGGGCATCTCACCACAGACCCGGGCAGCTCATCACAGAGCCGGGCATCTCACCACAGACCTGGGCAGCTCATCACAGACCCAAGCAGCTCATCAGAGAACCGGGCAGCTCAGCTGAGCCTTGGTACATAGGTAGCATGATAGACAGCCCACGACTGACTTAAGCTATACAGTCTCCAGCCCCTCCAGGAGTCAGGGGCCCAGACGAACAGAAGCAGGTATCCTCCATAAATGATATCATGAGCATAACTATCAGAAGTGGCCAAAGTCCCAAGTGTATAAACACAGTGAATGTCAATGTGATATTCTTAAAGCTGAGAAGTGGTCACCCAGGATCCAGTCAAGGGCTAGCCTTTGCCTATGCAAAAAGAAAAAAGAAAATCTACACTTTTCTAAATGGATTTTATTGGGGTTCAAAGAGACCTAGAAATACAACTTCTCCTTGCCCAGTCTGATTCCGTTGATGAGTAGGTCGATCATGTATCACACAGCCGGAGGGCCAATGTCTTGCTGGTACTACAGTGAAAACTTCCCACAGAAGTGTGGTATTACTACAGAAAAACGTTTCCAGGAAGCTCACAGCTTGACAACTTCCCATGAACTGGGCAGACACAGGCAACAGTGTCCAGCTCAAGAGTGGATCACACGAACACCACAGACACTTACTTTCTAAGGCCTTCAGCCATGGTACCCCCAAATTCCTACTAGCCAGAAAGAATAGCAAGGTGTTGTTGTTTGTTTTGTGTTTTACATGAACTGGATGGCATACATTATTTTGCATCTTTTGCTCAGTTTTTTTTTCCCCCAGTACTAGGGGGTCAGTTCAATCCCAGGGCCTCACATATGACATGCCAGGCTCCACTACTGAGCTACAACCCCCGATCAATACTATTTTTGTGAGATTCATTGAGTGTGGTTATAAATTGCTCATTCTGCTTGCTGTGGAACATTCACTGTAGGAGTAGGCTACGGCCAATCTGTCCCATCTACTGTGAGTGGGCATTCGGGTGGTGTGGTGGTGAGTTGTATGTAAGCTTCTGTCAGTGTAATGAATGCCTGAGACGTTCAGCTTACAGCTTATAAAGAGAGGAGGTTTCTTTAGGCTCACAGCTCTCCAGTTTCTGGTCCATGATTGGTTGGCCCTGTTGCTTTGGGCCTGTGGTGAGGCAATGCATCATGGTGGAGATGCACCAAAGAATAAACCTGCTCATCTCATAGCCAGGGGCAAGAGGAGGGGTGCAGAGAGGGACCTGGGGCCCACAGTCACCCTTGAACACAAGCTTCCAATCACTTGAAAACTTCCCACTAAGCCCCAACTCTTAAAATTGCCACCACTTGCCGGGCGGTGGTGGCGCACGCCTTTAATCCCAGCACTCGGGAGGCAGAGCCAGGCGGATCTTTGTGAGTTCGAGGCCAGCCTGGGCTACCAAGTGAGCTCCAGGAAAGGCGCAAAGCTACACAGAGAAACCCTGTCTCGAAAAACAAAACAAAAACAAAAACAAAAACAAAATTGCCACCGCTTTCCAACAGTGCCAAGCTGGGCTTTTGGAGGCCATTTAGCACCTGTAACAGCAGGGCTGTTGTGAACAGCCCCACTTCAAACATTCCGGACACATCTGGTCACAGTGTTGACACTCAGCATCAGGAGGAAGTACATCTGTCTGCCTTGCAAACTGAAATACACTTGATTTGCCTCGTTCACACAGGAGGGTGTGCTCGGGGCGCTAAGGACAATTCCTGCCCATTCCCTGGGCTACAGCAAATGATTTCTTTGGGGTGACAGAAATGGAATGCAGAATCTAGGGGAGGAAATGCTTCCAATTGGTAGGAATCCAGATTTGAATCTTCAAACCGTTCACTCCCTTGATATCTTACAAAGCAGCTAACAATAGACTTGATTCAGACCAACCACTGACTCTCTCTCTCTCTCTCTCTCTCTGTGTGTGTGTGTGTGTGTGTGTGTGTGTGTCTGTCTGTCTGTCTGTCTGTCTGTCTGTCTATCTCTCTCTCTTTATCTAGGAATGTTGTTGATCCATCACCAGGGCAGTTACCTGCTCTGCCGCCCAGGAATTTGTCTTTTCCAGGAGACCCTGGTAAGTACATTTTACTGATAACAGTTTCATTCTGTGAAGGATAATGAATGTATGCAGGTATCTTGTTTAGCTAACAAAATACTACAGGCTGGGTGGCTTCCACGGTGGAAAAACTATTTCTCGAAGTTGTGGAGACTGGGAGTCAGACTGGGAGTCTGAGATAAAGGTGGTAGCTACTTTGGTATCTAACCAGGGCTCTTCCTGGCTTGCAGAGTGTGGCTTTTTCTTTAACTTTAGTGTGTGTGTTCGTGTGTGTTCAGGCGCTCGAGAATGAATGTTGTATGCACTTGAAAGCCAGAGGACAACTCTCAGCTGTGGCTCCTTGGGCACCCTCTACCTTTTTTAGAAAACAATCTTTTAGCTGGGCAGTAGAAATCCTTTAATCCCACCACTCAGAGGCAGAAGCAGGGGAATTTCTGAGTTCAAGGCCAGCCTGGTCCACAGAGAGAGTTCTGGGCCAGCCAGAGCTATGCAGAGAAACCCTGTCTAAAAAAAACCAAGAGAAACAAAAACAAAAACAATCTTTCATTGGTTGGAACTCACCGAACAGGGCCAGTGAGACCTAGGGATCTGCCCTGTGCACCCCTGTGCTGGGATTACAGATGTGCACCACCATGACAAACACAAAGAAAGAAAGAAAGAAAGAAAGAAAGAAAGAAAGAAAGAAAGAAAGAAAGAAAGAAAGAAAGAAAGAAAGAAAGAAAGAAAGAAAGAAAGAGGAAGATGATAGGTGGATAGGTAGATGACAGATGGATAAATAGAGATAAATGGATGATGGATAAGTGATAGATGATAGAGAGAGATAGACAGACAGACAGATATGGGTCTGGGGATCAAACTTAGGTCCTCATGCTTGCAAGGCAAGTGCTTTGCCGACTGAACTGTCTCCCCAGCCCCTTTGTGTGTTTTGTTTTGTTTTGTTTTGTTTTGTTTTGTTTTGTTTTGTTTTGTTTGATGCAGGGTCTCATGTAGCCCAGGCTGGCCTTAAACTCCCTTGGATTAACTTGAACTCCTTAACCCTTCATTTCCCAAGTGTTATGGTTACAGGTGAGCCCCTCCCATTCCTGAATGCTCCCTGGTTCCCTTGGCTGGCTCCCTGTTAGACATGACCTCATTTCAACCCTCATAGCTCTGTGAAACTGATGGCTGTCATTGATTTTGAAGTTGACAATGCCCAGGGAAGTTAAATGATTTACCCATGATCACCAAACTGACTACTGGAGTCTAAACATGAACTCGTCTTACAGGAAATGGAATGGCAATGGTTTTTCAATTTCCTTGGAGAAAGAAAATTATTTGGGGTTCTCATTATAGCTAATAGTTCTAATTATAGCTATAGTGTAGCTAGGCTATTCATCAGTGTATTAGTCTGTTTTCTGTTACTATGACAAAATACTTGAGGCTGGATAGCATTTTTAAAAAGAGGCTTATTTAGTTTGCGATTTTGGTGGCTGGGTGTTCAAACAGCATGGCACTGGAAAGCTACATCACGTGACAAACGTGGCATCATGGCAGGAGCCTGTGTGACAGCAGAAAATCTGTCACATGGGTAGGGCAGGGTAGAGAGCAAAGGGAAGGGACCCATACCACTCCTAACTAGGCTCCATCTCTTAAAGGATCTACCACCTTTTTTCTTATTTTAGTTTTGTGTTTATATATGTTTGAGTATCTACCCACATGTGTACCACGTGTACACATGTGTCCAGGGTCCAGAAGAGGGCACAGGATGCCCTGGGGCTGGAGTTAGAGGTGGACATGAGCCACCCGATATGGTTGCTGGGAAGTGAACTCAGGCCCTCTGCAAAGCGGTAGGAGCTGTTAACGGCTGAGCTCCCCGACAACACACACACCTTTTAGTGTCACCACAGCGGTGACCAAGTCTCCAACACAGGAACCTCAGGAGAATCATTCTCAAGTCACAGATGAACAGCAGCAACCGCTCTTGTTCCTGCTCTAGACCCATTCTGCAGTGGTTCCATCTTTGAAAACAACTCCCCCCACACACACACCCACACACACATAGACGCCCCATTTCCTTCCTTCTTAGCAGGCAGATTTGCATGTAAGCAATGGCAAACGGTCCTGGGAGCAGCCTAGGGTACCGGAAGGGATGCACCAACAAGTCCATCAGATCCTTGTGATCTGGCATCTGTGGACACAACTGTGGTCACCTAGTAACTGGCTGTGGCCTGCTTCCTAAGTGTTTGCATCATAGTTTCTTTGAAGTGAGGTTCTTAAAACAGAGATGTAGGAATCAAGAGATCTGCCCAGCATTTGTCATCCATGCAGTTGGGTGATCCTGAGATGTGTGTCATGTCTGTGACTGGTTTTCGTCTGTGAAATGGGGAACTGGCCTCCCAGGAAGTGGGAGGATCGGTAACAGGCTCAAAGCTCATGTTGAGCCACTCGGTCAAGACTCCGTCAACGCCGAGTAGCCTCGCATGAAGTGACCTTTTCCTGTGCTTTAGTCCCACAGGAAGCGCCAAGCCAGCCACTGGCTTGGTACTCATCAGTGAGGAAAGTTAGGAACAAGAAGGTCTTTTCCATCTCGGGCTCCGAAAACGACTACGACGATGTTGAGATCCCATCAAGCACAGAAAACCAGCACTCTAAAACAACCACGCCTTCCTGGCAAGCTGAGAGCGGCTTTCACAGCTCATTTTAGAGTCATCTAGAAGGGTTGGACTGTGTAGCACAGACACTTCCCAACCCCTAGAGGAAGCCACATATGTGAGCGCTTACAAGAGAGGACAAGGACGGCTCGACATTCCCAGTGCTCCAGGTGTTCCTGCTGCTCCAAAGGTCCCGATGCTCCAGATGTTCCTGCTGCTCCAGATGTTCCTGGTGTTTCTGATACTCTAGAAGCTCTGGCCTAAGGCTCAGAGGGTCGAGCCCTTGCACTTCTGTGGAGGAAGGTTCCTTAGTGTGGACTACTGGGCCTGTGAGAATCGGCTCATCTCTCCACATCCTTCTTCTGTTCCCCTGGTGAATGTGGTTCTGAGGAATCTTAAGTCTTGGTATTTGTGTGGAGCCTCCCAGCTACCATCACTATCTATCTAAGCCATGGCATAGGGATGCCTGTCTCCCTCCTTGCAGGCCCCGCCCACTCCCGCACCTCTCAGAGGCTGTGGCTTGTCATTCTAGCTGAGGGTTCTTGAGGTGCACAGGTCACCACACTCTGAGAGTCTGTAAGGAAAGGAAGTGCTTTCTGTTTTTGCAAAGCCACCCCACCCACTCACCCTCCAACCCCCAGCACCTGTGCAGAATGTGGACCAAACACATCAAAGAGAATCGAGTTCTTACACAAGCTCATTTCCTGTGCTTTTAGACAGCATTTTAACAATCATCAGCAAAGGACACAGGTGGCCCTCTGACTTGCACCTCCGGCTGTCTTTTGCAGCGGGGTGTGCTGGCGGTGCCAGGAAAAGAAGGTTTCCCCAGGAAGAGTCTCAGACAGCACCATCCAGCAGCAGCTTATTCAAGATGAGAGTCCGGGCCTTAGCATCCCTTTTGAACTTTCATTATTACATCTCTTAATCCGTTTTGCTCTCTCTCACATCCCTGCCTTTCCTGGGGTGCTACTATCTCTTATCTTCCTCTGGGCATTCCCGAGTGATGTCACCAGTATCTACAGGGCTCACAGCCTCCTCTACCCTAACGACTTCCCAACTGCAGGCTCCAGTTGAGCACTCTCTTTACAGTTCCAGGCTGCACAGCCTGCAGGACACGTCCGTCCGTCTGATCACCTCACGGGACCCTCAAGTCCAGCACATTCCAAGGAGACCGGCTCCCAACCCCAAGCTTCTTGTGCTGGACAACTTTCTCCGTTGCTGAGGGCAGACATGAGCCTCCTTTCTCTCGTCCTTCATTGCCAACGTTCCCCGCCTCCGGCTGACTGTGCCTCAACCCGCTCAGTCTCCACCGCCACTCTGAGGTCAGCCATGGCCAGCACTTCCCAAAGAGAACTTTAAGAGTCTCTAATTGGTGTCCTGCCCCTGGCATCTCACGCTCCAGAACACTGATTGCGGCTGGTGATCTTCTAAAGTGACCGACCGACCGAACATTTCCTCCCATTGCTTGGACTTTATCATGAGCCTCAGAAAGAGGCCAAACACTCTTACACAGCTTACAAGACCTGTCAGGATTCTCTTATTGGCTAACTTTTCACTCACCACCTCCCGGCAACCTCCACCCTGCCCGGTGTTTTCCCTCTATCTGAAAGTGCCTTGGCTATGGTCTCTCTTGCCCTGGCTATGTGCGATACCCCCCCCCTCTGGCATCTTAGGCACCATTCCATCCTCAACGCCCAGCACTCGGGCACAGTGCCGTCCTCACTGTCCCAGATGAAGTGGCTGCCTTCGCAGGGGAAACTTTCGCCTCCTAACTCTAGCATCTGTAACGATCTGCTCAGGTGTCTTTCGGTTCCATTTGACCTGTTTCTAGCATGCGGTGGGTGATCAATGAGTATGTTGAATGATCTCCTGAATGAATGAATGAATTGAACTCCTGGCGCTCATGGTTTTCCTTGGCCCTATGGAAAGGTTTCTCTCTTTTACATAATTGGCCAGTTACGTTCTCTTCTCCCTCTCCTGGGGGCTTGTCGAGGTTTAAACATAAAGTGCCCCCGGCACCAGCTCATGGGTTGAATATTTGTTTCCCAGACGGGGGTGCTATTTTAGGAGGGTCTGGAAACGTTAGGGGGTGAGGTCTAGCTGAAGGAAGTGGGTTGCCGGGGTGTGTTGTTAAGGGCTGTGTTCTGCCCTTGGGCCCCTCTCTTGTCGGTCTCTCTTGCTCCTTCTACTTCCCAGCTACCCTGTGGTGAAGAAGCCTCTCCCACATGCCCCCATGTCACGGTGTTCTGCCTCACAACAGGCCCAGAAACACAAGCCAGGTGACCCTGGACTCAACTCTCTAAAATCATGAACCAAAACTTTCTCCTTCAAGTTGGCCTCTCAACTTGGCATCGGGGTCACAGTGATGGGAAAGGACCAACCCAAGGCTCCTTAGGGTAGAACTCGCTAGGCTCATTTCTGCTTTCCCGGTGTCTAAAGCAAATCCTGTCACACAAAAGTCACTTAATAAATATATTTTTTGAATGTTTTTTAACACAACGGGGAAATGTAACAAACAGCTTAATTGCCAACAAAATAAAATAAAAATTTTGGACATTTATAAATTTTGTTGAGACTTTGAGCTGGGTACATGTCATCAGACTGTGTTTTCTACCTCCAGTCTGGATGTCAGAGTTAAATACATCAAGCCCTCAGAGGACTCAGTGTATACTCCAGTCCCACAGGATAGCCCACGCCAAGTGGCCAGCTACATACTCACTGATTTAGAAGAGTCTAGAAATAAGACGACTTCCATCCTGAGTTCACAACCTAAGGGTAACTAGGACGCTGCTGACATAGCATTTTGAAAAAAATCCTCATCGGTCACCTTAGCAGTTTTAAAAACTTATGCTGTAAATCACAGCATCAAAGTTCTCTCCTTTTTGTAAATTATATTTACTTTATGTGTACAGGTACTTTGCCTGCACCATGTGTGTGCAGTGCCCTCAGAAGACAGCACTGGATCCCCTGGGACTGGAGTCACAGACAGTTGTGAGCCGCCATGTGGGTGCTGGGAATAGAACTCGGGTCCTCTGGAAGAGCAGTCAGTGTTCTTAACTGCTGCGCCACCTCTCCAGCACACCCGTGGTTCTCTTGATAATAGATACAGTCTTGTCTTCTTTAAGAAATGAACAAAAAAAAATTGAGCAATAGTAGCTCAGGCTTTTAATCCCTGAGGAGGCAGAGGCAGGTGGATTTCTGTGAGTTTAAGCCAGCCTAGTCTACAAAGTGAGTTCCAGGACAGCCAACGTTACACAGAGAAACCTTGTCTTGAAAAACTAAAAAA